TGTCCTTATCTCAACCCATAAGCTTTTTGTTATATATTCTCTCCCTTGTCTACTTGATGAGGGGGAGTAATAGAGTGGCACCTAGCATCCAGTCAGAGTCAACTCACCACACTTCTGTACTCTTTCCAGAATTCCCCCAGATTATGCATCAGAAGTCTGTACAAACCTGTATAGTTCAGCTCCCTCATTTGGCTCTCTAGGGCTTTTTTCATGTTTTCAACAGCTTCAAATGCTTTTTGGTCTTTCCTGTAGCCTTCATCCACCTTTTTAACCTCAGCTTCTTTTGTCTTCAACTCTTTTCGTATATAATTCAACTTCATTTCAGCCTGTAAGGAGTTAGCAAATATGGAACCAGATCTGCAAAGACAATCTTGCAGATGCAGATTTAGAACACTTGCACTAACAAGCTGCCCATATAATTTGCAAAATTTTCCACTGATTGCAAATATGCCCCGAAGTAGCTTAGGCTTTTGAAAATAATGGCAAAGACTATTTGGAAATAAAGACATAGATCTTGTATTTAGATAGGACAACATACGAGCACATGAACAGAGTTTGAGAAGAAACAAAGTAAAATAATGTGGAACACTCTTGTCCTTGTTACTTTCTCCAAAAGAATTTTTCCTTGACACAAGGAAGGTGCACTCTCAACTGTGAAAATTTAATTTCTATTGCGATAACTAGTCAACAGAGGTTTCCTATCTTACGACAAAAGAAGTGTCATCTCTTTCAGACATGTGACTAGCACAATTTAACTGAGGAGAAAATAGTTTCTTCTAAACTACGCATTCACAGTCTTCAGGATATTTAGTTTGATTCCATTAAGTTTTGCTATAGGAATCTCTTAGTATGAATGTGTATCACACAGACAGCAGTCTTTAGTTTTTCCTATCCAGTATCATCAACCTTTTGAGCAGTCACTCCTACTCTATGTCTCAAATGCCAGTTTCAATACTTCCTCACAGCAATGTTAAGGGTTTTTCCTATGCAAGGATATAATTTTTAGTATTTTATCAAAAAGTTACCTTAATGCATAGGCCCAATTGTAAAATATACTGCATAGATACCATGTGCCCTTTTTCACTTACCTTTCAAGAGTGTGTCATTTGATTTGCAGTCAATTTTCAAAAGAAGCAGGAAGGCAGGAGTGAGACAGGCAGAGCTTTTATTCTTACCTGTTTAGCCTCTGTTTCTGCTTTGCCAATTTCATTTTTGCAGATAATCATCTGCTCAGAAAGAGTAGCTTCTTCCTCATTGTTACTGCTGGACAGGCCAGCAGATACAGAATGAAAATGCTTTTCTGCTGCAGCTAAATCATCTGCATCTTTTTTGGATTCTTCCTGTAAAGCACTTAGTTCTTCCTCCATCTTCTTTAATACTTTCTCCTTTGACACATATACCATAGAATCCTTCAGCAAAATGAAGAATAAAAACAAAAAAAAGGAAGAGAAAACCTGAGTCCATTAACTTGAAATTCGTGTTGTTTAGATGAGAAGCTATGAGTAGTTTAGTCAACTACGTTTCTATGACCCTTTGTTAGATTTTGTAATCTTACAATATGCCTTTGCATACTTTCAAACCTATACTTGTCCCATGAAGCACTGAAGATCTATAGACATGAAATATAGGAAGTGATGACTACTGCTAAAGAACTAGGAGAATTATCTCTTTCTTCCCAATATCTAAAAAGTAATCTTCAGTGTCGCTCATGCATAAAAAAACCCCCACCAACTGTCAGAAATACGCACTGTAGAAATTTCTCATTTAATCTTGAAGAGTAACAGATGTCCAGAGAGCATCGTAATCTGAAGACACAGGCATTTCTTATGAGCCTAATACAAGGTTGGGAACCATAAAGGGTTGCACTTGCTTTGTATATGCATCATGCTTGCTTCTGATGGGCACCTACTACCAATGCTGAACAAATTAAACAATGCCCTTACATTTGTTTCTTCTTTCCTGATGGTAATTCTTACCTATCATAGGATTTTTCTTACCACAACAGGCAAGGAAAAACAGTTGTAACTGCAGTCTGAATCAATTTAGCATGTAAAGAAAATTATATACAAATACTTTACCTTCTGTATACGTGTTACCAGTTGACTATGTTTAGTCTCTTCATTTTTTAAGTTTTGCTTCTTGAGATCAAGGGCACTTTGTGCTTTAGTATGAACTCTTTGATCTTCCGAAAGAGCGTCTTTCAGCGAATGGAGTGTACCACCAAATTCCTACAACCATAAATACGGGAAATTTAATTTAGCCTGAGAAACCAATACAGTATTTGTCACAGTTCATCGGTTCACAGCTCGAGATACAAAAGAGATAAATTCTTCACCAAGAAGGCAGTCAGACTCCAATACAAACAGGCCAGAATCTCTCTCCCTTCTGAAATCCAGCCTAGCCTGAAGCTACTATTGAAGACTCACCTCATCCCACACCGTGGGACACCGTTCCTGTACAGAAGTCGGATTCACACATCTAAAGACCCTGTGGGCCACCCTGTATCTAACCAAATTTACTGCCCCAAAAAACTGAAGTCAGTACTGATTTTTGTTGAACAAGAGTTTCCTACTTGTAGTGCATTTTTGAGACACCAACAAAAAGGGAGAAAAATGTCTCAGGCAAGACTTACCATCAAATGCACAGAGTGGAAACGTGAGGGAAAACAGTTCCTATTCTTCAATTATTTTTCTATGACAGCAATTGGAAGTAAAGCATTTCAGACACAAAAACTTTTAAAATTTTAAACAGAGTTCTTCTAGGCAATGGCCAAGAATGACAAGGAGCAGTGCATAATCTAAACAATTCACTAGAAGAAGATAATTATTCAAGGGTATATTAACTGTAAGAATAATTCCCACATCATAATTACTTGTATTCAGATGAACACAAGTCTGTTCTCACTCACCTCATCCCTCTTCTTTTCCATCTCCACTATTTCTTCATTTAGCTGCCTCATCGTCTTCTCAGTTTCAGCCATTGACAGCTGAAGCTCTGTTATATTAGCCTGCATTTCCTTTAAAACATCCACGGAGGACATCTGTGTTTGTTCAGCCAGAACAAACTCATATGCTAAACACAAGCGGGTTAAACGTTCTATACGTTCCACTATTCTTTGGTATTCCATACACTGTGCTCGTTCCTGAAAAGACAAAAATAAAAATTTAAAAACCAAAAACAGCTCTAAAATTTGATGGAAAAGTAATATTAAGTAGGACTGCTATTGAAATCTTCTAAGCACTTCTAAACACTTGCATGTGTAGGCAAGAGGAAGGATTCTCTATCTTAAGTAATAAAGTTTGCATCGCACACTGCAGGGCCGCTTAGGAAAATCTCACTAAAACAACACTCACATAATTGACTGCACAGCAGAAATATCACTTCACATAAGCTTTTTTAAGAACTAAGGCATGTTTTTATCTTCTATTTTAATCTAGTTCTCTTGTTTTCTTCCTTCTCCCTGCAATTCCTCTCTAGGATTTCCTGGAAGTCCTGAATGACACAGTCTCTCTCTATTTGGAAAGATGATAAAATTTACTCATCCTGAAAGATTCCAGAGAGCTTGAAAACATGCTGCTGTTTTAGCCAACAAATACCAGTTCAGTGCAGCTGAAGCTTTTTTTCAGTACTTTAAGGGCCCACCTTACCACTCTTCTAATTTTTCCGTACCTGTTGCAGTTTTTGTAAAGCTGGGTTGATCTCATCATTTAGGATCTGAAACACATTAACAGAATATATATATTCTGACTTTTTTTTTAATTCTAAACATGTCTAAGAATGAATATCTAGTTCCAGGTGCAGAAACTGAATATTCTACAAGTTAAAAACCACAGTAATTACTCAGTTATCTTTAACAAATATGAAATTAAGTTTACTTTCCAACATGTCGTACCCTCCTAATGCTTTCCAGCTTGGATTCCTTGTTCTCTATGGTTCTCTCAGCAATTGTTTTCTTCGTTTCATACATCCTAGTACCAGCTGCTTCTTCAATCATAGCTAAAATCTAAAATAAAGCAAGGCAACAAAAATTATGCTAGATAAGTTCAAGTCAATTGAACACCTCACCTCCCTCCAACATATTTTTGTTGCCACCCTCATAAAAAAGGGATTATCATTCAGAACAACTCAGTAGAGCTTCAGACTAAAAAAACCCCGAAACAAACACCTCCCACAGCTTTCCTACCTCTGGTGGCTTCATATTTAGAACCTTCGTAATTTGTCCCTGGTGACAGAAAGATAAAACAAGGACAGTGTTTTTGTACCAAGCAATAGTAAAAAGGAAAGCCAAACCCCACTCACCCCTCTCACTTTCCACACATCGAACTATGAGTTCAAACATGTTTATTTTTTTTTTGTTCTGCTACAAGGATAATCTCACATACTCAACTGATTCACTCTTCCAAGTTCAAATAAGTCATTTTTTCAGGTAGCAAGCTGGAAACAGCCCTTAGGTTGTACTTCAGACTCATTTTCCTCATTTCTGACTACATATTAAAGGAGTAACACACACATTTTGTTCTAGAGTCTTACCGAGTTGCTGATGTTGCATAAGCTCCTAATCATAAACCATCTCCTTTGACAATTTAGCTCATATGGAACTAGGGAGAAGCAGAACAGGCCCAAAACTGCCCTGCCCCTGTCCCCACCTCTGCCTCAAGCTGGGACAGTTCCATTTGATACAATAAATCCTGCTCTGTTTTATTATTCCTTGCAAATATTTCAGAGACTTGTCTAGTCCCCGTGTTGATCTTAACAAGTGTCTTTTCATTTGGTCAGCCTCTTTTGTCGTAACTTAAGGCACTTACATCAACTTTATTCAAAATGCTGTGTAACAAGAAACACAAATAAGAGGAAATGAAATCTGTCATTTTAGCATAATAGTAACAGCAACACCTATCTGTTAAAGAGAAAAAAACGAAATAGAACTGGAGCACGTTTCAGGAAAAGCTTGCTAACGTGACAGCTACATGAGGACTTGTGCTACAAGACATGTTTTAAGGACAAACTGTGCTGTACCAGAAATGTTAACCATTTAACAGATATTTCATTTTCATTCGGTAAGATGTCACTCCAATTAGGGAATTAAGTGTTCTCCCATTATCTATCCTGCCTCAAATTTAGTGCAAGTTCTGTTCTTTCTGGATTTTATAAAGACATATAGACAATACCTGCATAATGAGGAAGTGAGGGTTATTGACATTGAGCCCAACAGAGCAGAAGAGATCCTGCACACGATTGTTGGCAGCATTCGTGCCGTTGATAAAGTACTTACTTTTGCCTCCGAAAGCAATCTGGAGAAAGGGAAGACATGGAAGAAACTTTGAATTGTTTAAAAATCACTTGGTATTGTGAGAATAAACTGCAATAAGGAATAAAAAATCTGAGCAAATCACACGTGTTACACCTTTGCACATACGTGTATGTGCTTACAATACAGAACATTGAAAACAGGTCTTGTTAGACTGAAGAGACATTTAAAATGTCCAACTAGAACATAATCAGTCATCGAGGGCAATACTGAGGAGAAAATTTCCAATAGCTCTACTCAAAAGGCCCTACACAAATAAAGAAGCCCCCAAAACCCAACCAACCAAAAAAACCCCTCAAAACCCAACACCTTCATCAGAATAATAAAAGTTCCTTTGTTCTTGGAGACCAAATTTAACACACAGTTCAGATATTAAGACGAAGACAGGAAAGCAGAAGGAAAAAAACAAAATAGAAAATTATAACTTGCTTTATGAACATTATTTCATTATTATCATTATGTTTCTGTTCAAGTTCTCTTATTGATCTGCAGTCTATTGAATGTTATTATGCACTTAACAATATCAAAATAACTTCCCAAGTAATTCCTTTTTTTTGAATCCAGTACACTGAATCTGCCCCTACACTTTGGATTAATAACTACACTCTAGATGCAATGTAGAATTGCCTCAATTGCAAAAACTCAGGCACTTTTAAAACTGACCCGTTAGGTTCACTGATCAGTCACTCTATTGAGCATGGCAAAAATGTACACAGATTACTAAACAACACAGATATTAAAGACTCACCTGCCTAGTGACAGTGATCACATCACTACTTTCAAATCCTATTGGACTTCGGCTCTTGTCTGAATTATCAAAGTGAATAGACACACTTGCTCTGTTAATTCCAGCTTGCCCACTCTTGTAAATCAGATCGTACGTGTTGCTAGCTCGCACCTAAATCCGTGGAACAGATAAAACACTTGTTCGAACAAAATCCATTCCACAGCTTCTGTGTGCTGCAGATTTAAGAGTTCATGGGAAACGACATGGGAACACAAACATTTATTATTCATAATGCAGTTCACACAGAAAGTGTTCCTTGGAGGTCTTCTGGATTTGTCTACAGGTGGGGGGTGGGAAAGAAAGGCAATAAAGAAAACTGCACTAAGACAGAGATTCAAATTGATGTCAGAGTGCACCATTTCTTTATGAGAATAAAGTAGAAGGATTATCTATTAAACGGCAGGCATTGCATGAAAAACATCTTTCTAATTTTCTCTGATGAACCAGATGGCCAAATCCTCAGACCCAATCCTGAACTAAAAAAGTTTCTTACAAATAAATAAGTTAGTGCCTTTAGCTGCATAAGACCTTTGGCTTGAGGCGCCACCTTTTAAGTGGGTACTTTTAATCATAGAATGAACCAGGTTGGAAGAGACCTCCAAGATCATCAAATCCAACCCTATTGTCATTACTTAGATAATGGAACTAAGTGCCACATCCACTCTC